AAATGGGAAGAATTATCTGAAGTGGTCTCAACTGGTTCGCATGTTCTTGAAGGGAAGAGGCAAACTGAGTCACTTACTCGGTACTGGGCCTGAAAAAGGGGATCCTAAATTTGATGCTTGGGATGAAAAAGAGGTGATGTCTTGGTTATGGAACTCTATGCTTCCAGAAATCAGTGATACATGTATGTTTCTTAACACAGCCAATGAAATATAGGAAGCTGTGAAGCAGACTTATTCTAAAGTCTGAGATGCTGCACAAATCTATGAAATCAAAACCAAGATTTCATCTACCAAGCAAGGAAGTCGGTCAATCACAGAGTATTCCAATCTGTTGCAGAGCTTATAGCAAGAGATGGATCATTACCAGTGCATTCAAATGAAGTGCAGCGAAGATGCAGCGCTCCTTAAGTGGTTTGTTGAAAAAGACCGAATTTATGATTTCCTTGCGGGACTGAATATTGAATTTGATGCAGTAAGAGTCCAAATTCTTGGAAAAGAAGACCTGCCATCACTAAATGAAACAATTGCGATTGTTCGTACAGAGGAAGGAAGGAGAGGAGTCATGATTGAAAATAATCCAGTGGACAGTTTAACTTTGGTCGCAAAAGTTGTAAATGAGAGGAAAGTTGGCTGGGAGCATCCAACTAATGAAGATAACAAGCAAACAGATTTACAAGACCAGTCGATAAAGATTCCATGTGGTACACATACTGCAAAAGGTCCCGTCACACTAGGAAAAAGTGTTGGAAACTCTATGGAAAGCCACAGACAACAAACAAAAATTTTATAAGGTGGGCAGTCCAAAAGACAAGGGCAGACATATATGGCAAAAAGGCAACAAGCTGGAGAAGTTAATTCTCAAGAATCTCCTGTTAAGTTCAATAGAGAAGAAATTGAGAAACTGAAGAATCTGCTGGGATCATTGGAGAAAACATCTTCAAAGGTACTTGCACTTTGGCATTCTCTGGTATATCTTTCTCTCTTCATGCTTCTAAAGTCTCGGGTATATCCACCACAAGCTCCTGGGTCATTGACTCAGGAGCTACAGATCACATGACCCACTCCTCACAAAAATTTATCTCATATACACCTTGTCCTAGTAATAGGAAGATAACAATAGTAGATGGTTCTGTGACAACAGTGGCTAGTCAGGGAGACGTTTTTATAAGCAATACCCTCACACTTAGAAATGTCCTCCATGTACCAAAACTGTTTACTAACCTTTTGTCAATCCAAAAGCTCACTAAAGATTCCAATTGCAATGTGGTGTTTTATCCCTCTCGATGTGTATTTCAGGAACAGGGAACGAGGAGGATGATTGGACATGCTAGAGAAAGGGATGGTCTATACTATCTTGAAGAACCCAGTGGTCAAGTTAGTGTTCCAAATTCCTCACCATTTTCTTTTCTTTCAGAGTCCTTTAAATCCAATAAAGACAAGATTTGGCTTCAGCACCTTCGTCTTGGTCACCCGTCATTTAGAGTCCTTAAAATTATGTTTCCTTTATTGTTCAAAGGATTAAATGTTGAAAAGTTTCATTGTGATGTTTGTGAACTTGCAAAACACAAACGTGCTTCTTTTCTAATAAGCGATAAAAGAACATATGTTCTATTTACTCTTATTCATAGTGACATTTGGGGACCGTCAACTGTTTCAAACATTTCTGGGGCTCGATGGTTCGTTTCCTTCATTGATGATTGTACTCGTGTGTCTTGGATTTTTCTTATGAAAAATAAATCTGATGTGAGCTCTGTCTTTCCCATTTTTTACAACATGGTCAAAACACAATTTGGGATTGAAATTAAAAGATTTTGGTCTGACAATGCTAAGGACTATTTTAATCAGTTCCACTCACCATATTTCCAGGAAAGAGGCATAATACATGAATCTTCTTGTGTTAGCACACCCCAACAAAATGGTGTAGCCGAACGAAAGAATGGTCACATTTTAGCTATCACGAGAGCATTCTTGTTTCAAAAAAATGTTCCTAAACAATATTGGGGGGAAGCTGTTTTAACTGCTGTCCATATGATAAATAGATTGCCTACAAAGGTTCTTGATTTTCAAAGTCCTATGTAAATTCTAACGAAGTTCTTTCCTAGTTTCAATGCTTCAAGTAATCTTGTCCCCAAAATATTCGGTTGTGTTGCTTTTGTCCATGTGCATTCCCAAAACAGGGGAAAACTTGATCCACAAGCTATAAAATGTGTCTTTCTTGGCTATTCTTCCACTCAGAAGGGGTACAAATGCTATCATTCTCCCACAAGAAAATTCTACGTGTCAGCTAATGTCACTTTTGCAGAAGAAGATAATTACTTTACTCGTTCTTATCTCCAGGGGGAGATCTCCTTCATGGAAGATAAGGACAAGGATCTTTTTCTCCTTGACTTTCCATTATCTTCTCCTGTTCCTATCCCTATTGTCCATCCAAATACTCAAACTATCTCCTTTGCCCAGCTAAATACTCAGTCCATTCCTATTAACCAGACTGAGCCAGTCCAGCTTGAGCCAATCTGTCAGTCGGAATCAATACAACCTGAGTCAGAGATTAAGCCAAAATCCATACAACCCAATACCGAGCCTCATACACCCAAGTTACAAGAGGTGATTCAAGACACTACTCATCCACTGCTGGTTTTTTCAAGGAGGGGGGCACCTGTGTAAGTTCAATCACCCAAATCAACTCCTGTTCTTGGACTTAGCGAGGTAATTGCTGAACCTATTTCTAATAAAGATGGTACCACTGAAAATCTCGATCAAAGTGACTACGATATTCCCATTGCTATTAGAAAAGGAACTAGAGCATGCACAAAACACCCTCTGTACTTATTCATGTCAGATATTCCCATTGCTATTAGAAAAGGAACTAGAGCATGCACAAAACACCCTCTGTACTTATTCATGTCATACAAGAATCTGTCCCATAATCACAAAGCCTTTCTCACTAGCCTAAACACAATCTCCATTCCCAAAACTATATCTGAGGCATTAGGTGATGAGAATTGGAAGAATGCCATGAAGGTCGAAATAGAAGCACTTGAGAAGAACAAGACATGGGACTTGGTGAAATTACCAAGAGGGAAGAAGTCGGTGGGATGTAGATGGGTATTCACAGTGAAATACAAGTCAGATGGTTCATTGGAGAAGTACAAAGCAAGACTAGTTGCTAAAGGCTACATTCAAACGTATGGAATAGATTACCTTGAGACATTTGCTCTTGTTGAAAAGATGAACACAGTGAGAGTGTTGTTGTCATTGGCTGCCAATCGGGGCTGGAAATTACAACAATTTGACGTCAAGAATGCCTTTTTACATGGTGATCTCGAGGAGGAGGTCTATATGGATGTTCCACCAGGGTTCAGTCCAAATACAGGACAAGTAGTATGCAAGCTAAAGAAGGCATTATATGGACTAAAACAGTCTCCAAGAGCTTGGTTTGGAAGGTTTTCCAAGGTAATGCTCAATTTAGGATATAAACAAAGCCAAGGCGATCACACATTGTTTGTAAAGTACTCAACTTCAGGGGGAGTGACTGCACTATTAGTCTACGTAGAGGACATTATAGTGACAGGTGATAATTTAGAAGGAATGGAGAGTTTAAAGAAGTGCTTAGTAAAAGAATTCGAAATCAAAGAGCTTGGTAAGTTAAAGTATTTTCTCGGCATTGAGGTAGCACATTCTCGGGTAGGGATCTTCATATGTCAGCAAAAATACATAACAGACTTGTTGATGGAGACGGGCAAGTTAGGATGCAAACCAGCAGAGACGCCTATAGAGTTCAACCACAGGCTTGGAGATGCCCTGGAAGATGCGGCGATAGACAAAGGATCCTATCAAAGACTTGTGGGAAAGCTTATCTACTTGTCACACACTAGACCAGACATAGCCTATGCGGTTAGTATTGTCAGTCAGTTCATGCACAATCCCAAAGAATCACATCTTAGGGCTATGTATCAAATTCTGCAATACTTGAATGGCACGCTAGGCAGAGGAATTTTGTTTAAGAAAGGGGAGAAGATAACTATTGAAGCCTACACTGATGCAGACTATGTAGGGTCTGTAGTCAATAGAAGATCAACCTCGGGTTATTGCACTTTCCTAGAAGGCAACCTTGTAACTTGGAGGAGTAAAAAACAGAATGTTGTGGCAAGATCCAGTGCAGAAGCAGAGTTTAGAGCAATGGCACTTAGGATTTGCGAGTTATTATGGCTGAAAATTGTCTTGGAAGATTTGAGAGTCAAGTGGGAAGGTCCAATGAAGCTTTATTGTGACAATAAGTCAGCTATTAATATTGCACATAATCCAGTTCAACATGACCGTACGAAACATATTGAAGTTGACAGGCATTTTATAAAGGAGAAGCTTGACAGTGGCCTGATTTGCACTCCATTTGTATCCACTGGTGATCAACTAGCGGATATACTTACCAAGGGGTTGTCTGGGAAGTTTTTTCAGAGACTAGTAAGCAAGCTTGGAATGGATGATATCCATTCACCAGCTTGAGGGGGAGTGTGGAAAAATCTGGTTTTCTAAATAAGGGAAACCGTGTGTGTATAGCTGTAATTAGCAAGAAGATTTTTTTGTAATAATTCAGTCATTATAATCCCTGATTCTAGGGAGTTAATTATGGGTCAATATTTCTAGGATTAGTCAGTTTCCTAGTTTAGAGTTTCCTAATTTAGATTCTCTGAAGTGTATATATCACTGTAATTTCATTTTATTTTAATATAATAGAATTCAGCCCAATTTTTGTCAAGTTGTTTGGATCATCAATAGCCTTATCAAAGCTATGGAAAATAAACTCATCACCAGGAATTTTTTCCAAAAGCTTGTCATTGAGTTCATCTACATATTCATTCTTTGTTGCAAGAATAGCTCGTTCTGTCATATATTCAGCTGATTTGTATTTTGTTCAATTGATGGAAATACTTTGTTTAACAATTCAACTTCTGATTGTCCATTTTTGCTATCTTCAATCACAATACTTTCAGGAAGTCTAATTAGTTCATGTTTAGTTGTTTTTTCTGTTCCATTTCCGACGCGCAGCAAGAATTTATTGAATTCTTCATCATTTTTTGCTCACATGTTTTTAAGGTTATCTTTTCCATTTTCTCCCACAAATAAGATTTTACTAAGCTAGCATTAACTGTTTGGCTTCTTGTTCCTCTTGGAATAACAGGCAATACTTGACAAAAATCTCCTCCAAAAACGACTACTTTACCACCAAACAATTCATCTATACTCAATAGGTCTTGCATTGTATGATCTACACTTTTAATTGCTACTCGTTTTTCCATTGATGCTTCATCCCAAATAATTAGTGCTGCTTTTCTAATCAAATGTGCAGTACCTTCTTGTTTAGATATATTACAAATTATTGTCTCAGTGGCATTAATTGGTATCTTAAGCCGTGAATGTGATGTGGGCCTACCAGGCAGTAAAGATGCTGCTACTCCTGAAGTTTTAGTTGCTATTGCAATCATTCCTTTTGATCTAACATTGGTAAATATAGTTCTGTACAGAAATGTTTTTCCCGTCCCTCCAGGACCATCTATGAAAAAAACTCCTCCCTTATTCATATTAACTCTGTCCATTATTATTTCAAAAGCTTTCCTTTGATCTTCATTTAATTTATACTTACCATCTATATCTTCCTGACAGACTTCAACATCCATCTCATCTTGTATGATTCGTAGATTGCATGATGTATCACCTATTTCATTTTCTTTAAACCTAGGTAAATCAAAATCTTGTAATGTCTTCCCCATGCTCTCCAGGAAATAATTAACTCCCTCTAATACCCATGTAGTTTGTTCTACATCTGTCGCCCGTGTGTTCACCGACCACCTCTAACTTAACGAAATGTATGATGTGAATTGGTGAAGCGTACAAGTCAACGTGACACACGAAATGACAAAACAACTCAGCTAGTAGTTGTGTTTCGCCCAAAAGGGGGCGAAATACCATGTGTGACTCGCACACACCATGTGTGTCTCGGCCATAAAAAGTTGTAGGTATCTTCTCTAGCTTTCCAATGTATCTTGAATTACCTCATTACGAGATCGGACGAGAGAGTTAGAGCCAAAATACCCGACGTGGTACGAACTGGCTCGGCCAAGGCCGAGCCATCAATTGGTGGCTCGGACCAGGCCGAGCCACCATTTAGTGGCTCGTCTATTGGAAGTTGTAGGTCTTTTTGTCAGCTTTCCAACGCATCTTGAATCACCTCATTCCGAGATCGGACGAGAGAGTTAGAACTAAAATACCCGAGGTGGTACGTACTGGCTAGGCCAAGGCCGAGCCACCAATTAGTGGCTCACACCAAGAAGTGATATTTTGACCATGATACGATTTTATTCTGAAGAAACTTAAAAGATAAAAGTTGTAGGTCTCTTTATCATCTTTCCAACGCATCTTAAATCACCTTATTCCAATATCAAACGAGAGAGTTAATAAAGTTAAAATACCCGAGGTGGTACGAACTGGCTCGGCCAAGGCCGAGCCACCAATTGGTGTCTTGCACAGAGAAGTGGTATTTAGACCATGATACAATTTGATTCTGAAGAAACTCAAAAGATAAAGATTGTAGGTATCTTCTCCATCTTTCTAACGCATCTTAAATCACCTCATTCCGAGATCGTACGAGAGAGTTAGAACTAAAATACCCGAGGTAGTACGAACTGGCTCGGCCAAGGCCGAGCCACCAATTGGTGGCTCGCACAAAGAAGTGATATTTTAATCATAATACAATTTGATTCTGAAGAAACTCAAAACATACAACTTATAGGTCTCTTCTTCAGCTTTCCAACGTATCTTGAATCACCTCATTCTGAGATCTAACGAGAGAGTTAGAGTAAAAATACCTGAGATGGTACGAACTGACTCGGCCAAGACCGAGCCACCAAATGGCGGTTCGGTCAGATTCGATCCTAAAACATGTTTTTTCAGTTTCGACAGGTTTTCACGAGATTTCTTCGGTTCTTGAGTGTCCTAACTGATTGGATATCATCTCTGAACATATTACATGGTTGTCAACTGAAGATAAGACGGAATCCATCGTTGTTATCCAAAAAACCCCCCAACCGAAGCCTATAAATACAGGCCTAAGGGCTTATTTCAGGGCGGACATCAAGAGGATGAAACGCTGCCGAATTGGAGAGTGGAGCCACGAATTTACAGCAAGGGTTAGCGGATCTTAGCGATCTCCTGCGCATAAAGAGTGGAGTTCAAGTGATTCGAGACCCGTCCCCTATTCCTCCGGATTTAAGTTTGGTCTTAAATCTCGAGAAGAGCCGTGATCTCGTTTGGTCGAGATCATCGCTGCAGCGATTACTTCCTTCGTGAAGTAAGAGCTTTGATCATCAATCTGTCAACCGGATCTGATCCATGACGGTTCACGGATATTAACGTCCCAGACACAGGCAAAGTTCCCACGCAAGCAGTGGGTGATAAACGTCCGTTGCGCTGTTTGACAAGAGTCGTATCTTTTATGCTGTTTGACAAGAGTCGTATCTTTTATATTTTCATTATATAAGGAGATCTTATAAAAAGATCAACTTTTTATTTAAGTTTATTGAAAACGATTAAAGTTGTAATAGATTCAATCACAATGAAAACAGCGATTTTTGACCCAAACACGCTGGCGACCATAGTGGGAGCCAATAGCTTCGTTGCCGAAGCTGTCGTGTCGCAACCACGGATCCGGATCCCGGTTGACGAAGAGATCGAGTACGAATTCGACCAACTAAAGTTTGAGGAGTATCTGTCGTCCTCCTCCTCCAGATCCTCTGCCCCTCGCAAGCGCAGGAAGATCAAGGCCCATGTTGCTGTTGAAATCTCGCCTTGCAAAGCCCCTCCGGCCTCTAATGAGCCCAGATCTATAGATCTGGACCCTTCCTCCATCAAGTAGTCAATCGCAGAAGGCACGCCAACCTTATCAAAGAGGGCACGCCAAAGACAGCGCCAACGACTTGCACGTCGACTTGCTAAGGCTTTGGAGCCTGTTGACGGGATTGGCTATGAGGCGGATCTGAAACGCAGAAGGCACCGAGTGCCCCAGCAGCAAATAAATGGCCTCTCCTCCAAACAACCAGCGAATGAGTGGATCCAAGTCAAACGGACCCGCTCAACCCTCGAGGAGTGTATTCAGAAGCGTCGCGCCTTGATTGCGCACGCACGGATTCTCGTACAAAAAGCGCAGAAGTTAAAGCTAAAAGAGATGATCAAGAGGCCACAGAAACCACGCCAAGTCTAGAAACCAAAGTCCGAAACGGCGTCGACAAAAAGTCAAACAGCGCCCGGAACTGCCAGAATGCGCGAACCACCATCTGGTGGCTCGGCCAAAACCGATCCACCAAAAGGTGGCTCGGCCCAAGCCGAGCCACCAAATGGTGGTTCACGCTGGTTCGCACCTGGTTCGGTTCGGTTCGCACCCGGTTCACCTCCCGCAGTCCCGTTTAAGCCTCCGACGGCCCCTGTTTCTGTTCCAATGAATTCCGCACTTTCGATGAAGCCTCACAACCACAGAGACTTGTCCCGTTTCAAGATGAGGATGACGGATCGCCTGGGTCCTTTGCACGAGGATCGAGACAAAGTTCCGATCAAAGAACGCTTGGGTCCGGTGACTGAACCCCAAGCAACCACTCGAGCTAGGGGTCGTACACACCCTCACAACAAGTCAGAGCATTCCTATAATGGGAAAACCCCTGCACTTGACCGCCTCGGACAACGAATTGAAGTCCAAGAGCCCGTCAATAGTTCGTGCTCCCAAAAGCGTCGCTCCAAATACGTGACTCTTAAGAACGCCAATAAGGCAGCAAGCTCTCAGAAGGAAACATGTTCGTCAGACAATGACGTTATACCTGAAGAGTCGTGTCAACACGCGATAGGTTGCTCCGGTCATATGACCGACGAGTTGTACTATCGGGCTGGGGGTACGAACAAATCTCAGAAGAGAAGTACCCGAGAAACAGAATCTTACTGCCCGTGCACCAAACTAATCAGGGCAGTATTATCAGCGTGTAGCTACCCCAAGACCGTTCCGCAGAGGATCTCGGTTTTCAAGAGGATCTCCAACGGAATGACTAAATCCAAACCAAAGCGTCTACGTAAGAAGCGATTGGCTGTTCATGATGACGAACTTACAGAAGTCACAATTAACATGGCTGATAAAGGAAAGTCGATTCGACCTTCTAGTTCTGACCCCCTCGTATCGCATCGTCTGACTCGGCTACATGCAGGGACCACTAGACGCATGGACTATCAGAGAATGCAGAGAGGTTTATCCTCGGATGATGAAGCATCAGATGCTAACTCTGTAATCGCTTCTGATAATACGATCTCCAGCCCAGGTCAATCCCGCGAAGCATTCATGATCAATACCGAGCAAGTGGCCAAAATCATCGAAGATGCCTTGGCTAAGAAAAAAGAGAACTTCAAGTTCGAAATGGAAATGGCTATGTTGCGGGTGAGGGAAGAGCATGACCAACAAATCCGAGCTTTGTCGAATCAACTTGGTGAATCCAGCCGTCGCAACGTTACTAACCAATCAAATAGAGATTTAGATGTGGATGAATGCCTCAATGCTGATAACCCTCCTATTGAACAAAACACTGGGGGTGGTTCCATCGAAGATGACAATGACGGGGTGGCCGCATTATTCCTCTTTCAAATCGTCCAAGGCCTGATACGAGCGAGGATGAGAAAATGAAAGATCTCGAGAGCAAAATCTACGCTCTAATGTCTGCTCAAGAAGTGAAAAAGACCGACATTCCATGTCCCTATCTAAGAGAATGGGATTCGATCCCGTATCCGGTGAAGTCCAACCTGATTAACTTCACACCATTTAATGGGAAGGGTTCGCCCACTCAGCATATGATCTACTTCAAGTCCCACTTGGGCATGATCTCCGACAATGAAATATTGATGGTCCGGTCATTCGTTGGCATCCTTCGTGGGCCCGTTTTCGATTGGTACCGTCGTCTCAAGCCTGCAAGCATCAACAACTGGGACGACCTGGAGAACTTGTTTCTCGCTCACTTCTTTGATGATGATGCCGAAGTGTCAATCAGGACACTCTTCGATGAGAAGCAAGAAGACAACGAGACGATCGACGACTTCGTCAAACGCTTCCGGAATAAGGCGATGAACTGCCGAGATCCGATCACGGAGGACTTCATCCTCCAAACCTGTCACAACAACCTCTCTTTGGAAGTGTTGGAAGTTATGGGGGTAGCACCGTCCAACACATGGAAAGAGTTGAAAGTGCATGGAGAGCGGGCCGAACGCTTCCTCAGAAGGAAACAGGCCGAGAGAAGCCAACCGATGGCTAATCCTCCGAACTCAAGCTTCGTCTCCCATAGCAAAGGGAAGGCAACTGCAACAGTTGTTGATGCTAATCAAACGTCACAACAATAATCCCGGAGACAACAAAAGACTTCGGATTCGAGACTCCAAAAAGAGTACTCTTTTAAGGACGAAGACGTTCCAGCCATCTTCGAATCCCTCCTTGAAAACAACAAGATCAAGCTACCACCTATCACAAATCAGGAGGAAGCTGACAACACTATGGATCCAAAGTACTGTGCGTACCACAGGAGGGTCCTTCATCCCACCAAGGATTTCTTTGCTCTTAAGAATAGTATCCAAACCTTGGTTGAAGCCGGCGTCATAACACTGGGATAAGCCAGCTGAGAATGGCAACACTCCGAAGAGTATACGAGTATAAACTGCTTCTTAATACTCCAATAGGTATATGCGTCTAAACTGT